CGTTGTAATCCAAGAAAGAATGGGGTGGGTGAGGGGAGCCTTGGAATTAGGACAGACTATTCAAAAGAATTGCCATAGAAAATAAGCGTGGTAGAAAAGACCACCAGTAAATAATCAGGGTCCTGTGAAGAAGAAAAGCAGAGAACTGCCTAGGAGAGTGGAGCTCTCCAGTTGTTTTGGAGAAGTTAGGCTGACTTAACTCTTTGCTGCGCCCTTACATTCTTGGGGATGACATTTCTTGGATGAATCCATTTTCAACCACATCAAACTATCTATAGGTGATAAACCACCTACTATTGATGTTGGTCTTTTCCGAGTTTCTACTTTGGCACTAAATTAACATTTTAGTCCTTTCCAGCAAGGTATTTTTTTATTTATGTTTTTTGTTGCCTCTGCATTTCCGTGATAGTTGTCTGACCATACAGTCCCTGCTGCAGACAGCTTTTATTTTTAGGTTTCCTATTCAGAAGGAGTAGTCCCTGTTTAGGGATTTTACTGTCATTCTAAGCTTACCATTGAGCTACAACCCTGCAGCTTTCTTCACATTCAAGTCACTGGGGAGGCCTTTTGAAATGCTGACAAGACAAGACAACATTTTGTACAAAGGACAAAAAGCAACCAGAAAGAGATTCCAGAATCAAGTAGGTACCATGAAAAGGACAGGAAAGTGAAGACAGTGGCAGGAGCCAAAGGACAAAAGACAATTCATTAAATCCTTGATAATCTAGCCAGAGGCACCAAGACCAAGGGCGATCTGTAGTTAGAGGTTTGCAAACAGGAGTCCTCTCCTGTATAATTCCCAAAGTACCACCCAAAGTCCTATAGGTCGTATAAATACTTCCTATTGTTAAAATAACAAAGTAATTTTCTGGTGCACAATATTACTGAATTGATTAGTTTTTGAGGGCTCTTCTTGAAATTCATTCAGGTATAGATTTTTAAAGAGGTAAGTACGTTATTTGAGTGAAACAACCTTATGTTGAATCTACTTTCTAAAAAAGGAATAATATAGTTAAGTAATATGCCTAGATAATAAAAATATATTTATGTAAGCATAGCCAAATTTTATAAAAAATGTCTGAATACCTTTCCCTAGTATTTAGCGCCTCATCTCTGCTACAAGGTAGACTAATAGATATGTTGTAAAGTAATTGTAATAAAATATAAAAGTATAATTCAGGGCATGCATAATGTGCCTTTAAACTGATGTCATAACTTTGATCAGGATAACAATAACCATACTTTTTTCTTTAGTCTTATTGTAGAGCTTGATTAATATGTATGATGGTGATGAATAAAAATATGTAATGAATTGTCAAGGTTTAGATTGACTTTTAGAGGGACTTTCTTTAGCAGATGCCTGATTCCCCAAAGTTTCTCATGTCTATGACATTCTCTTGAACCCTAGCAAAACCGATCAGTATCCTTTATTGACTGTTCCCTAGAATGTCTGCATCTGCCCTTGTGGTGTTCCCAACTGTCTCTGCTAACAGGTTCCACCGTGTGTGATAGTCCCTGTCTAACGAGATGCTATTTTTCCATCCTGTGACTCACCTACCAGAGGTCTGTCTCTCAAAATTCTTCAGCTGACCTTGTGAACCACTTGGAAAGGTTCCCTCCTGTGTATAACAACACCGCTGGCTGAGTCGTTCGTAACTCATTACCGAAAACCACCAGGAAACAAGGCCAGAGGAAAATGGTATTCACCTCTTTTATTCTATCTTTTCCTCATTATAATGAGCCTCACCACCCTTAGGTTAGGATGACATACCGTGCCCTGTCCCTAGACTTCTTCCTTGGCTCCTACAGCATTTTGCCACTTGTGGTTGTAATTGGTTTTAATTACAGCATGTCACTCTTCCAATCTGTAATCTTACTAAAACAAAAAAAATGTACGTATGTACCTCCTGGTTATCACTTTATTCCCAGTTACCAACCCAGGGATCGGTTGTGTTCCAAAGTGGTTAAGCATTTGCAATCTGGAGCCAGCTGTGTAGATTATATAATTTTGTACTTCAGCTTACTTACCCGAAAAATAGGTATTTTAATAAGAGTGTTTATCTCTTATGGAAGATTAAATAAGTTAATTTGCATAAAGTACTTAGTGCTTGGCACAGAGCAAATAGCTGTGAATGTAGGTGCTCAATAAATATTTGATGGATTAATAAATGCCACAGGAGGTCCGGCCATCAGCATTCTGCAGACATCATTTAATCAATCTCAGCAGTCCAGCAGCCGTGAGAGCCTCTTGCTTTTTTTCACACATGGTTTTCATTTACTGCCTCTCAGGACTTATTGTATTTGTGTCAGATCCACTTGTCTAAACATTTAAAAAAGCGAAAACAGTGTTGCATAGTTTTACAAATCATTATTGTTTGGCTCTGTGGGTTTCTAAAACATCATATACAAAATGCTTCATTGCCTCCGTGAGGTTTTACAGTGCTGATGAAGTCCACTCATTTAATAGGCATAGAGCAGTGTGGTGTGTGGTGAGTAAAGGCGGAGGCTAGATTAATGTGTGTGTGTGCCTGTGTATATTTGTATGTGTGTGTGTTGGGAGTGGAGTTGGCAATGATCAAAAGGAATAAAGCGAAGTGTCTGCTCTATGGAATCTTGAAATGTAATAAAGGAGATAACCATGCACACCACTAACTCGATCACCAGGCTCAGTCCTCCGGGAGCCTGTGAAGATCTGCGTCCTGCTCTGGGAAAGCACAATCTCTCTTTGTGGCTATAGCTTTACCCAGGCCGGCCTCCGAGTTACAGTGTAGGCTCCTAAGGTTTCACTTTATCAGTCTGTGCAGTGCCCGCCTCTCTGTACACTGAAATCAAGTGTTGCTATTAGCACACTGTGAAAAGAATTTTCTGCCCTGAAAGGAACAAGAGTGGTGCCACGAAGCTATAGAAAAAGGCAAGTCTTTTCTTAGAAGGACGGCCTAAAGAATATTTTAAGCCATGTAAACAAACAAACAAACCGTGATAACTGAATCGAGGTTAAGCCTGTGCCTCTTCCATATTCTCTCAACCCAGTTCTTTTGACCTTTAGTGAATCACTTCTTTGGGTTATTTATTTCCATCCCCATTTTGTTGTAATACTGAGAATTCCCGGAGGGGTGACTACAGAAGTCTGTCAGCAGCAGGGTTTATTCTGGCAGGAAAACTATTCTATTAAAAAAAAATGATTTTCTTTCCCTGTGGTTCAGTATTTTCTTCCTCTACATGTCGGCTAAATTCCTCCATCCTGTTTCCTCACAAATGTCAAGGTAGAGTTGCCCCACTCTCAGACAGCTCTCTTCATTATGATTATCAGTGTTAATGCCATGTCATTAATCCTCACGGGTGTACGAAGGCCTCGCTCTGAATGAATGGGGAAGGTCACCATGGAAACATTTGTCTCCATAGCTGACTCACTGCAACCCCCATAACTGCTGAACCACATCCTGTCTGCCATCTGAATTGCACTGGATGAAGCCGCAAATTTGGCATCTCCTATTGGCCCATTTTCTGTTTAAAAGCTATTAAAAATCTATGCCAAGAAAATGTTCCTGAGACTCTCGGTAATAATGCCATTTGAGATATGTTTAAGTGGGTGATGCTATGCAATTAGTTGTTAACACCTTTTCATAAACACCCAGAGTAAACATTACCTGTGGTTTTTCAGCTCCCAGTTACCACGTGGTCTTGTGGTCTCTGGAGATGCACATGGGCAACAACAAAAAAAGTGCCGGCGTCAAAAATAAGCAAAACACCTGCGCTCACATTTCAGGAAAGAGCCTCCTCGGGGGTTAGTGTGAGCTATCAACCTGTAGCGCAGTGAGGTGGAGGGGAATAAAATGGTCTTTGGTGGATTTTTTGGTCTGTTTCAGTATAAAAGGCAAGCAAGATAAACCATGTAGAAAAATTACATTTGAGGACTGCAGATTTCTCATGTAGCCTTATCATGGGAAGACAGAATATCCACATTTCCTCCATGAGAAATTAGGCCTATGCTGAGAGATATCAGGCTTAAATAAAATCACCTGAGAACTACAGTGTCCCTCCCAGCCACCTCAGCACCAGCTAAGCAGAGCAATCTGTCCAGGCTTGTTTTGCTAGGAGCTGGCAGTAATTATACAAACCTAGGCCCAGCAGGAGAAGCAGGCATGGGAGTGAACAAGGGAACGGATATTTCTCCAGCTGTGCGTTCACTGGCTCTTCTGAGGCAGGTAGGTCCTCATTTCTTGTTTACACTTTGGATCCCAGATGCAGTCTTTCAAGTGATAATAATACAGTGTGTGCTGAAACATATGCCACGCTGTACGTGCATTACCTCACTTGATTGTATACATTACCCTATGTGGTAGGTAGTATTTTTTATTTGCCAGATTATGAATGTGAGGCGTGGAGCAGTTTAGTGATTTCCCCATGTTCAAATAGCACGTAAGAGACTGAGCTGGGACATAAACTGGGGCAGTCGTCCTCCAAAGTTCATTATTCACTTAAACATCAAGCCAAATATTTGCCCAAATGTGCAGTCATATTTATTTATTCTCCTCCCTCTTCCTGTTTCCCCCTCTCTCTTTTCTCCCTTTCTCCATCTTTCCTCTCACCTCTGCTCTCTCTCACGCTCTGCACCCCCTCCCTTTGACTGGTCTTTTTATTTTCTCACCTCTTTTCCACTATAATCCCCCATTGCCTCCCATCTGTCCCTGAGCACCTATTCCCACTCCTCCTTTCTTCTCTCTCCCTCCGCCTCTATCACTGGAAGTAGACAACTGATGGACCCCACTTGGGTATACCAGCTGGTTCCAGGACAAGAGTATTTGGTTTCCCTCAAACTAACTTTTACCTCTGAAGAAAGAAAAGCTGGCCGTTGTCTCTAGATCCCCACTTCCCATCAACCACGCTTAGATCCCCTTCCATCTCCTTTCTTTACCATAAGCTTCCAGTTCTCTTGTACTCTTTTTCCTATCAATTTTTTTTAATTTTTAAAAATATGTTTTTATTGGCCTGGCTGATGCGGCTCAGTGGTTGAGTGTCGACCTATGAACCAAGAGGTCACGGTTCGATTCCCGGTCAGGGCACATGCCCAGGTTGTGGGCTCAATCCCCAGTAAGGGGTGTGCAGAAAGCAGCCAATCAATGATTCTCTCTCATCATTGATGTGTCTATCTCTCTCTCCCTCTCCCTTCCTCTCTGAAATCAATAAAAAAATATTTTTTTAAAATTAAAAAAAAGATTTATTGATTTTAGAGAGAGAGCAAGGGACAAGGAAAGAGACAAACATTGATCGGCTGCCTTCCTCATGCACCCCAATTGGGGTTTGAGCCCGAAACCTGGGCTTTGCCCTGACTGGGAATCAAACTGGTGACCTTTCAGTGCATGGGCCAACACCCATCCACACAAGCCAGGACTTCCCTATCACATACTTTACTTGGAAAGGATGAGAATCTTAAACTCATATAGTGAATTTAATCTCTTATGTTAAAGTGCTCCCATTTTATGGACATTTGCCTCTCTCTCTCTCTCTTAACTCTGTTGTTGAATCTGTTAAGTTAGTCAGCCTACCTAACTTATTCTACCAAATATACTTATTTTCCCAAGGTACATTCATTAGGCCTCTTTCAATCGGAAGAGACAGAATTCCAATTCAAATTAGTTTAATAAAACAAAAATATATGGCGTCAAATAAAATTGACAGGGGCTCCTTAGGTTTAGGTATGCTGGCTATATGTAGTCATATAATATCAGGAGCCTCTTTCTTCCTCTTTTTCATGTTTGTTTTCCTCATGTTGATCCTGGGAAGGCTTTCTCCACATGCCCATGAAGAGAACCTCTGCAGTTTATAGGTAATCTCCAGACCGATATTAACCTTAGAACTAGGAATCTCAGAGAACAGGGTACGACCTTTGATTTTCCACATTCTTATTAATCCTCAAGAAGACACTGTTTGATCTTGCTTGAAAAATATCCCTAAATGAGACCAACATCTCTATTTAGAGGCAAGGGAAAATTATAGCAATCAGAAATTGGCTGTCTTTGGCTTCAGTCCTTTATAGGCCAAGTTATGCTCCTCCAAATTTTATTTATTCTGGTACATCAAAATGTGACTGTATATCTTGAGATAGGTTATTTAAAGAGGTAACTAAGTTAAAGTGAGGTCATCAGAATAGCCCTAATCCCAAATGACTGATGTCCTGATGAGAACAGGAAATGTAGACACAGACATGTACAGCGGGGACAGGTGAAGACACAGGGAGAAGATGGCCATCTACACATCAAAGAGTGAGGCCTCAGAAGAGAGAAACACTGCCAACACTTTGATCTTGAACTTTTAGCTTTCAGAACTGAGAAAATAAATTTATATTGTTTAAGCCACCCAGTCTTTGGTACTTTGTCATGTTAGCCCTAGCAAACTAAGACATATCCCTACTCCTACAGATGATGAGATAGGAGTGGCTCTTTGATTGCCCATCCAACCACAAGCTCCAGAATGGGGGGAAGGAAATCTTTGGGAAGAAAGGAAATTCATAACTTGAAGAAGGAGGGTGTGATGCTAGACGCACCATATGCTGATGTCCCCACAGATGGAGAGTAACTGATCTGCCTTGGTCAAAGGTCATGATTTCATAGAACCATTCTGGAAAGAGAATTTATTATTTATGATAGATTTCTCATCAAAATTTTTCAAAACATTTTGAACCTCAGCTTCAACCATTACAGTTTGGTACAGGCGGGACCGACAGCAGGACACAGTGTTTCCGAGGCTCTTGGGTCATTCAGGCCTGGAACTGGATCCTGAATCTGTCCATTTACTCCTACGATTATCTTGGGAAGTTATTGGTGTCTATGTTTCCTCATTTATAAAATGGGGTAGTGAAGGTACTGTTCACCTACAGTTGTTTTGAGGATTCTTTAAGTTAATTCATGTAAAATTCTTAACACATGGTCTAATACAGTAATAGAACTGCCTACTATTGTTCTTATTATACCTACTATTATTATTATTCTTGTTATACACATATTGTCCAACACATTCAGATGACCTATTTAGCATATAAGTTATTCAGAGCTTTGAATTTTTGCTTAAGTATTATCTTTAGCAACTACTAATGTCCAAATAAAGATGATAGATATAAAATATTTAAAATATGTCATATTTCAGGAAGAGAATAGAAACTGGATTTGCCACATCCTACACATATCAATGGTAAATATATTGAATTTGAGAAGCCTGTGTGATAACAAAGTGAAGGATCCAGTTTACAGCTAGAATTCTGATACTGTACCTAAGGACAGAGGCCAGGACAGTAGATTAATTGAAGAATCATTTGTTTATATCACAGACTACAAATTAGAAAGTTAGAGGAATGGATTGTTCTTTGCCCTCCTACACAGATTTTGACAAATAAATGGACTACCATTTAATTAATATCATACATAAAAAATGAGCTTTTTAAAATAAATCAGGTGATCTGGGCCTAGTGCTTCTCATTTTCATATGGCAAATATCAAAGGGAACTGAGGGGAAGCTGCTGCTTTTGGTCATAAATCCAACTCTTCACTTAGAATGTACACGTGAAAATATTTCCCATTCATTTGGGCCACCTCCCTGCTCTCTGGAGGTATTCGAGTGAGATCTTGATGAAAGTGGTTGTTAAGAACAGAGATATAGGTAAGGTTGCTCTCTGGAAAAATAAGAAAAAAGGGGGCCAATTATGAAAATGGGAAGAGGAAGAGGAGTCATTCAAGGAAAATGAGAAGGATTAGTCAGAATGCCAGAAGAGAGCATTGTCATCGCACCCGAAATGGCAGAGTGTTAATTAGAAAGGGGTGGTCAAAGGATGTCGCATTCCCCAAAATACCTATTAGGCTGAGTGAAAACAATCTATTCTTTTTGATAATTAAAAAATCACTCATGGCATACAGTAACAGAAGTAGTTTCATTCTTGTGATTAGGCAGGAACCTATAATAGAAGTAAGGAAGTCCTTTCCCCCCATTTTTTCTTTTTTAAATTGTTTAATGGAGTGAGAGCTACATGAAGTTTTATGGGATGGTTGCATTTTTTTATACAATAGAAAAGTATTTATGGAACAACTGAAGTTCATGTAAGAGATGCTGCAAATAGAGCAAAGAGACAGAAACAACTGATGGAGCCTGATTCTAGTCAGCCAAGACAGAACACATTATTTTTTTAAATATGGAACACTTCATGGATTTGCATGCTATCTTTGCACAGGGCCCATGCTAATCTTCTATGTGTCATTCCAATTTTAGCATATGTGCTCATGAAGCAAACAGAACACAATTTTAGTCACAATTTTATATATGTGAATTTTAAGACTTGCTAGTCTTGACGTGAATGTCCGTGATTTCCTGGAGCTCAAAAAGTTTAAAATTAATTTCATTAATTGATTCTATCCATCTTCTAACACATATCTAGTCTTATATTCTCTCTCCTGGTGACCCAGTCTCTAAATGCAAAGTCTCGAAATCATTTTATATTTCTTCTTTTAACCACCGTCTACTCCTCTGATCTGTCCTGTCACCTCACATCCAATCAGATGTAAGCCCTAATAATTCTTCCCTTAAGTATGTCTGGAGTCTATCTTATTTCTTACACAAGTTTCTCTTTTTTTGTGTGACCCCCACTGAACTGGAAGCTCTTTCAGGATGAGGCGTGTTCTTTATGATTTTTCTAACTTCAACCCCTCAAGGTGTGTGCAACATATTCAGTAAGTTTTGTGGCAATGAACTGAATGATCTGGTCCCTGGTTTTCCAGTTTCATGCCCTATTACCCCTCACCCTACACTCCAGCCACACTGTACAACCTACCCTCCACCAATGCCCTGGGTAATTCCATGTTTCCTTGTATTTACACAGCTATTACTTTGCCCTGGAATGCTCTTTACAATGCAACGTCCACCTGGAAAGTGGAAGATGACTTGGAAAAGTTAGGAGAAGAATTAATGCCCCTGTAAAATTTCCCCTTATTTCTCTACTAGTGTGCAGACCTTGCTTTAGAATACCAAACTTCTTTTCCTTTCTGGTACACAACAAAACAGTTCCCAGCCTCACTTGTTGTTTGGCATGGCCATAGAATGTGAGTGGAAACTGTTTGTACTCTTCTGCCTGACCATAAATTCTTCCCAGTTGTCGTTTTTCATATCATTTCCCACTTTCTGACGGCTGGTTTAAAGAGCCCGTCAAAGGAGATCTCACAAGCTATGTGTTGAAGATGGCACTGCAGCCATGTGCTTCTTAACCTGGGGAATACGTTCTGAGAAATGTGTCACTAGGTGAACTGGTTGTTGTGTGAACATCATAGAGAGCCCTTACACAAACCTAGATGGTATAGCCTACGACTGTCACTGTCTGTGCGATGCTTTTCTGTAACTGCAAGTGCAATAGACTTGTTGACACCGGCATCACCACAAACACCTGAGTCGGTGTAGTGTGGTGACAGCTGGCTTTCCTTTTTGTTGTGCGAGTGCCTGACTCGAGCTACAATTGCCCAGGCATCCATGTCTAGGCTGGCACCCATTTCGCAGAGGCATCTGCTTTCGGGAAAGCTACCACCAATACGTGTGTTGCCAGCCACGACTAGATGAAGAGCCAGGCTGCCTCCCTCCGTGGATGCTCCTTTTTTAAAGAAATCTTGGTTGCTTTAGATACAATTTGGACTACTTGGTGTTTTTTTCTTCCTGTGCTTTATTATTATTTCTCTTCCTGTGCTTTAAATTCCCACTCTTCTGTTTTAAATTCACCAATAATGAGTGAGCCCTGGCCTAGCAGATTTAGCTCAGTGGATAGAGCGTCAGCCTGTGGATTGAAGGGTTCCGTATTCAATTCTGGTCAAGGGCACATGACCGGATTGTGGGCTCCAACCCCAGTAGGGGGCATGCAGGAGGCAGCCGGTCAATGATTCTCTTTCATCATTGATGTTTCTTTCTCTCTCTCCCTTTCCCTTCCTCTCCGAAATTAATAAAAATATATTTTTTAAAAAAGGAAAAAAAGAGTGAGCCCATGAAAGCCTATGCCCCTACTCTCAACCTCAATAAATCCAGAGCCTTAGGCCCACACTTGTGCATGTTGGTGGTGGGTCGGTCTCTCTCTCTCTCTCTCTTGCTCTCACTCTCACTCCCTGTCTCTCTCTCATGTGCCCATGGCTGTGGCTTGCACTGTCCGTTTCTCTCTCATGTGCCCATGGCTGTGGCTTGCACTGTCCAGGGCCTGTAAGTAAGAAATGCTCTTTTTTTCTCTTCAAAGTTTCCTAATGGTTATCCCACAGAAGGGAGTCTTGCAATCATAGTAAGAACCACACCAGTCAGTCCGATAGTAACATTAGCTTAGGAGGGGGTGGTATCCGGGGGAAGTGTCAGTGGAGGTGAGTGCCCCCAGGCATTTCCAGGTGATAGCATTACTATGATAGACTGAGAAGGCACAAGGCAGTGATGTGTTGCAACCTGACATTACACAGCTATGACATCACTGGGCAATAGGAAATGTTCAGCTCCATTATAATCTTATGGGAACACCATTGTATATGTGGATTGTCCTTGACTGAAAGGACATGGCATTTAGCACATGACTATATTGGAAAAAGGGAAGCAGGTCCCTGAGGCATTGCTTAGAGAACTGCCAACCATCAGCTCCTGCATGGGGCCATTGATAAGAGTGAGAATAAACCTTCAAGATGTTAAATCTCAACTCAAATTTTAGATTTTATCCATTGTAGCCACTAGTGTAATCTTAAATAATACAGCTCCATTGTATCTTGTAGCCCCATTATAACTCAATAGTTTGTAATAATTGATAGGTATGTCTACCACTCCACTAAACCATGCCTGCTCTGGAGACTTAATCTCTATCAGTGTTCCTAGTATCTGGCACAAAATTGGTGTTTTACAAACATAAATTCTAAATTTTGAGGAGAGTGGTTCATACACAAAAAAATAGTCCTTACAATTAGAAGTAACTAGACTTTTTTCACACATGAAATTCTCTGACTGGAAAACATTATGAGATATAAGCAGTCATATTTTTCCCCTGTTACCGTGGGCAGTTCCATCTATTCAGGAAAACGAGTGGTATTGGACATATTTGCAAATTCAAATGTAGTTTTAAACATGTGATTTGTTATTGTATTTTCATCAGTGGCAAGTGCAATGGCAGTTTGTGCAAATTAATGCTCACAGTATGAATGTTTTAGTACTATTGAATAATAACAGTGTGCAATTTGAAAGGTAATTCCATTATGGCAAGCTTTCTGGAAAAAAAACAAATGGCCTGACCATTATAAAATTTGCAGTCATTGTTAGAAAGTGCACGTTTATTGAATAATAAATATAGTAATCACTTGGCCTTTAAAAGTGAAGTTTGATGCATACAATTCTTTCATTATATGTCTCTCCTTTTTTCCAAAGTGGTTGCTCAGCTAGAATTGTAGAATTGTAATCCCTTACAAATTGATCTGAAGTTTCTGTTAATATAAACCATTTCACATCCTGCTTTGTTACAAGAAGAACAAAAATCCAATAAGGGCTACATCATTTAATCCTCATCTGTTACTAAACTAGGACAAAATAGAGTAATTAACTAGTAACTTACCTCAAAGTCACTGAGATAGTTAAAAGGGAATGGTGATGTTTGTCATAAGTCAATTATTTAGGAGGAGGGACACAGACTAGTATAGAAAAGATGAGCCTCTGACTGTGGTCAACTTTCACAATACATTGCAGCCACCTGGCGTTCCCTTCCCCCCTAAATTCTGATGCAATTCACCTAGGCACAGGGATAGAAAAGTTGTCTCAGAGATTCTGTTATGTAGCCAGGGTTGCAAACTACTGAAACACACCCCCAGATTTTTTTTGCATAGAGGCGCAAAGATCTTTGAGACAGATGTCATGCCATTCATTTACGTAATACTTCCGTAACTCAGGCATTCAGTTTAGTCATTCTTTTCATTACATTCAATTAGCTCAATATTAATTAAGCACCTACTTTGTCACTGAATTAGGGGCAGAGATGCTCCACTCAATCATCACTTGATAACTAAAATGCAAATTTGTTTACATATTTCTCTTGTGTCTGGGCCTCCTGCATCTCTGATTCTGGCTCTGTTTGGAAGAGAGGCAACTTTTCTATTCCTATCTCTCCCTCTCTTTTTTTTTCTTCTCATTTGTTTGGTTTCAGCAAAGTGAATTGTCACTGAGTTAGGGGCAGAGATGCTCCACTCAATCATCACTTGATAACTAAAATGCAAATTTGTTTACATATTTCTCTTGTGTCTGGGCCTCCTGCATCTCTGATTCTGGCTCTGTTTGGAAGAGAGGCAACTTTTCTATTCCTATCTCTCCCTCTCTTTTTTTTTCTTCTCATTTGTTTGGTTTCAGCAAAGTGTGAGGGGTAGAGGTTGGGAAAGAAAGAGAGTAGGAACTTTTACTGAGTTCCTACTCTATGTTTAGCAAGGGTTAGCATTGCACAGTTGGAATCTCACAGATCTGCTAAGGAGGCAGTGTTAACTCCTTTTTACGAATGAGGATACAGAGATTCAAAAAGTCTAAGTAACTCGTTCAAGGTCAAAAAGCCCCTTAGTTGCAAACCTAGGATATAAACTGCAAAGTTCTTCCCCAAAAGCTTTCAGTTACAGTTTCCCTAAAATCAGAGGAGAGTCAAGTTATGTCCCCGCTGCAAATTATGTGTCAAAAAACATGTACTTGGGAAGGTAGTTTCTTTGAAGTTTCTCCTTGTATCTGAAAATTTATTTGAATTTTAATTTCATCCTCAGTAAGTTAATTAAAATATAAATGTTGTATTTAACTTACTATTAGAAAAAATAATCTTATGCTTCTGCTTTAAAGGATACAATTACCTTGAGTTTATCCGTTTCAGAAACTTGCTCAAGCAATCGACTCTACATATGTTTCAGTGTCCAGAAAATTCCTCTGCTTTGCCTTGTAATCACTGAACTTGAGGAATTCATACTAACTCAAATCTGGGGATGGTAATAGCAACACTCTTTCACTGTGCCTCTGAGTCTCTGACAAGTCTCGCTGAAAAGAGATGCTGAAATGCTGCCTGAATTGAAGGTCTCGGCACCTACTGGCCAGTCTCACTTACTCACTGATGCTGAATTTATTTTCCCCTAATGGTGTAATTTTCATGAGTCAATAATCTCAAGTGGCTCATAGTCCCTATTATTAACTTTCTTCATCCAATTAAGACTTCATTTTCTGTGTAGTGATCATATATGTATTACCACCATTCTGTTTGCAGAACTTTGCACCCTTGCAATTGTTTATTCAACTCTTATAATTATCTGTTTAATTTGTATATCTCCTGCTAGTATAAGCTATCTTTTTAACCAATGTATCCCCCACCCAGAACATTTTGCTGGTACAGGTTAGGACTTTAGTATTTGTTGAATGATTACAGTGTATGACTTTCCCAAGTAATTTATTCCTAAAATATAATTTTTACTAGCCATGCTTCACTGACCTTGGAGAAAGTCTGAAGTAATTTTTAATTTCATTGACTGTACTTTTTACCATATTGTTCTATCCACTATTTATTTTTAGATGCAAAAATTCTGATAAGTTTTTGAGAGATTTGTTTGAAATATTCCTATCAAAATGGTGATTTCTTGTTATTGCCTAGGAATTTTTTAAATTTTTTTTATCATCACCACCACTCCACAGAAAACTAATTTTATTGTTTAAACAATTTAAAAAATTCCATCCAGTATCTGGGATTACTTTTATCTTTATGATAAAAATGTAAAATGTAAATAAGCATCAAAGTTCATCAACACCTTTGGTTGAAGAGCTTCTATGTGCCACAGATCACCAGTTTAGATTAGGGAAATATCTAAACTTTGTTTGTTCCTTCAATCAAGAAAATCTCCAGGATATAGCAGGGACATCTGTGGGACAACTGACATAATAATATCAAGTTGCTATGCATTTCTATTGCTTATGTTTTTACTTGTTTCAGACCTATTTTCAAATTATTGGCTTTTAAATCCCCTTTAATATTGCCATTTGAAAATATAAATTAAAAATTATTTCCCCTTTAAAAAGTAAATAGAAAAGATAATACATTCTTTTAACTACCCACAATTATTAGAATTCTCAGGTGATTCGGGAGCGCATAATAAGGAACTATAGTTGTGTTAAACTTGCCCTGTGCAAACTCTATATCTAGTAGCTAGATATATACAACCACTGTATTTCTGTTATGTATTCTTTATATACAAACCATCCAATTATACAGTTTTATCATATGTGTATATATTATTTTTAGTGACACATAACAATTTTGTATTATCTTATGATATCCTCACATTAACAGAGAAGGTATGTGTCATCCCTTTCAAAACAAACAAACAACAGAAAGCAGCTGGGAATATTGAGAGTAAGTCTTGCCCAAGGTCACATAAGCTCATATGGATTTGGAACCTATCACGGATCCACTCCTTTTCTGGTGCTGTTCACTCTGATTTCAAAGTACGGGCTCTTTTTTTACTCTTTCCTATTTTAACTTTAGAGTTCTGGCAGAATGGAAGGAATATAAAGAAAATGGCCCATTGCTTCCTCTGGTCTACACTTTATCTTGTGAGAATTTATGGTAGGTGGTACTGGAGAATAGTGCCCGCATGGTAATTCTTGCAGCATCTCTACTGCTGTATATCATTCCACTTTCTTATTTGCCACACTGTAAATCAGCTTTGCAAATAGCCACTCATGTAGGAAGGAGCACTTTAGGCTGGATAGCACAGTAATTTCCAATCTTGTATATGGTTTAGTAACCTATATCTGCTCACTATATCACTTTTTTTTTATTATTGCCATGTCCAAACCACAGTTAATATGAGCAGACAAGTGTTGATCAATCAAGTAAGTCTCAAAACTTTTTGGGCAAAGAAAGAATGCTCTGTAGCACCAGTTTGTTAGGCAGGTGCATGTGGGTAATTAATACTTTTGGGGTATCTAAATAGCTCTCCTATGGAGTTGAGAAAGTAAACTACCAGGAATTTGCAAATAAATAAATAAATAGATAAATAAAATAAAATAAAATGCAGTGTGGTAAGATGCAGCTGAATAATAACCTCAGCAGAAAGAAGAACAGGCACGAAATACAAACCTGGAGCTCTTTTCAAGAAAAGACTTGAGCTAATCCAACTGAGATTAAAGTAGTGTTGCATGCCCAGGGCCAGGCTCTTCAGAGAGCATTGACCGTGTGTGTGTGTTTATGGTTTTCAAAGCAAGACCCAGCTCCTGTGCCCTCGGCTTTGAGAGCTTCGGGTGGATGGGAAGCAGCAGGAGTCAGGCGGGAGCATTGGACCAGCCAGCAGGCGCTCCAGTTCCATCTAAAGAACTGGCTAGCCTGTTGCCTGGGACTGAGAAGCTGCAGTTGGCTTAGATCAAGGTCCTGGGGAGGGACTAAGCAGGTGGTTTGATCTGAGAGACTTGACCTGGCACAAAGTCAAGTAGGTCAGACAGGCGGGGCAGAGGTGGGCATGGCAAGAGCTCCATGAACGTGTGGCTTTGAGAGGGGACAGCTGGCCTCTTAAGGTCTTCTGGCTGAGGACTGCTCCATTGTTCTTGACCTTTTCTGCTCCCCTAGGGTGGAATCCTCGAGTTTAAAAGGTCCAAAACGTTGGGGAAACATTTTAGACTAAAAGTATTATCATATCCTTAGCCCCCTAGGTAAAGTCTTTGTGTCCTGAATTAGAACTTGATATTGACCTTGGTGGTAAAATCACTCAGTGGTGCTAGGAAAAGAGGAGTTTGTGCTCAGAACAGGGAAAATCTTGAAGCCAAAGAGTATCTGTGCTTGAGCAGTAAAATCCTAATGTGAGAGTATCGGTAGAAGCTACAGCTCTCCTTACTTTGCCCTTGACTCTGTCAGTTCTCTTACTTAAAAGACAATGTGGGGCAGACTGAGAGGATAGGTTCCCCAGAGTATATTCACCCTCTCTCTCTTCAGCCTGACTGTGGGTTGACAGTTTATGTAACACTGACTCTGAATATATGCAACTGACAGTTGTCAAATTAATATTTATATAGAAATTGTTCTGTATGCAAAACCAGTCAAGCTCAAGTGTTTAAACAGTGGACACCGGGTTTACAGCTCCCGAAGCTTTAAACACCCTCCCTGGATGACTGGGTCTTGCCTTGTCATGGAAGTGTGGTAGTGTAAGTGAGTGTGGCCCACTTCATGCACGGTAATTAAGTGTCTCCCACAAGATAACTTTATTATTATCCTTCAAGATAACCACGAGACTTTCAAAACTCTCTCTTTCCTAAGTCTAGTCACAGACTTGCAAGAACGAAGTCTTAGCGAAGTCTTCATTTTCTTCGTGGCCTCTGTACAACTCTCTCAAAGTTTTAGCATTTGGATCAGGCTTCAAACCTTTCTTTAAGGCCATTCACTGACTAAAATATCTCTTCTCTACATTTATAAAATGGACAATAAACTTAGGATATCATTAATCCAAGAAATTGCTCAAGCTGAAAATATATGCAGAATTAAAGGATATATATATATAAAATTTAGATATGTCTGAGGAAGGTCCCTGTCAGTTGAAAATGTTACGGAAAACAATTATTTTCATAACAGTTTGTTATGGCAGTTGAATTGTCAGAGCCAATCTCTATACCTGGAGCCATGAAGATGTTTGAAAAATAAGGCTTTGGCCAATGGATAGCTACTAGACAATTTCTGAGCAGGGAAATAAGTGAGACTTAGAAAAATTAAGAAAGGGAATATAATAAAATGAGAAAGGAAATCTGTCACTCCCCCATCAGACATTTTCATTAGCCTATATATTTTCCCTTATGACAGTTGGTAAGTTTATATATAGATAGATTATGTTCTGTATGCAAAACCAGTCAGGCTCAAGTGTTCTAACATTACATATAAGGGTAGAAAGAGTGTTGGTTTTCCTCATCTTAAATCCTCTGTTTATTATGCACGATACACAGAGCCTGTTCAAGATACATTTTTTTTGTGAAAGAATAAATGAATGAGTGGAAGAATAAATGAATCTTGTAGATAGAGGTTTATACAGTAAAGGAAGTCCAAGGATACCACAGAATCAGCAGAGTTGACCTTGAATAATAGACGAAAGGTTCTGTGTTCTATGCTCTAATTTATAGCCTGCTGGGTACCAGTGGCCAGAGTGCCCAGGTGCTGATCATAGCCAGGAGCACTGTGGGACCTGGAGGTGACTCTTTTCTCTGATTATGTTGGTGGCAGCAGAGCTGTTATCTTACCCTGGATTCTGGTTACACACTGTGTATACAGTAATTGTGTAACAGGCCAGGTGAGGAGTAAACCAAAGCTGTTTTCATTTCTTAAACTCCCTGTGCAAGTCTTTAGCATACAAGATAATAAACAATTTTGGCAGACAGTCATATGTTTTAAACATATTTCCAGGGTGGTCATGAATACATTATTATTGTAATTCCTCAAATTTCCTGGTTACACTTAATTGTATGTTCAATAGGAACAAATCCAAGCTGACCTGTCTAACTAGTTAGTTGTACAATAATGAATACATATGGATATTAAAGGACAATCTTAGCTAATAATAGCAAGTTTATCTTCCTTAACTGGGCTAACTTTTTTTCCAAAGCGATTTGCAATATCATTTATTTGGGCTAGTTTGCCTTCACCAAATCTTTTTGTACTGTCTACTAGAAGCAATTTGTCTGCTTTTCTTAATTGGCTTATAACTCGAAGTTTTAGAGCCAATTAAAATAAAAATCACCAAATGCACTAAGCCTAATTTACTTAACTAGCTTTTGCTTTTATAAAATAAATAATAGGAAATTGTATATCCTATTTTTTGTCTTCAATGATTTTCATTGTAGTACTTAAGACTTCAGTGCCCCTGTTATATAATCCATAGAATGGGGTTAGTCATTTAATGGTAATTCTCTGAATATTACAGAGTTATTACAGTATAAGCTAGACATTTCTCTAAAGAATAGCAAACATGAAATGTTCAAAACAATCCTCTGTGTTGAGGAATTTGTTTACAATCTCTGATTTAATAAAACATTTTTTAAAAGTCTCAATGCTTTCAGAAAACATTTATTCAAATACCGGTCTCAATATTGGGGATATAGAGATGAAAAATGTAATCTTTGTCCTCAAGAAGCCCACTGTCTAGGAGGGAATATAGATTAAAACACACACACACACACACACACACACACACACACACACACACAAAACAAGCACTTCATTCCAGTGTGATGAGTAATATAATTCACACAATATTTAAAGATGAGAGCAAAGAGAGGATTATTTTTTTTAACTCTAGAAATAATTTGTTGTGTTGTCAAAGAACATTTTCTATAGTCCTTTATACTTGTGGGTTTCTTAAAGTAAAAGAAGGTAAGATACCATACCAGCCAGGAGGAAATACGTGTGTGTTTATGTGTGTGTGTGTGTGTGTGTGTGTGTGTGTGTGTGAGAGAGAGAGAGAGAGAGAGAGAGAGAGAGAATATGTAGTTCCGTAGTTTGGGAATTTCAAGTAGAGAAAACAGCATGTGCAAAGACATTAAGGCATTAAATAGTGCTTTACCACTTATAGTCCTATATAGTATCAGTGTTTAGTAATCATTGATGAAAAGCTAGGGAGATAAACAGGAGCCAGGTCATTGGGGACCTTATAAAATGTTCTAAACAAATGACTCTGAAAAATTTTAAACAGTATAATTTTTTCTTAAGTCACTATCTTTCAATATAAATAAAAAGAATATGGCCTCCTTTAAAAGATTTTGAGGTTCAAAATAAAAATTATTAACAAAAAAAAGAAATTAGGATCTCCAGTAAGATTTCAAATCACTCATTGTAAATGTGATATTTTTAACTCAAGAAGTATTTCTTCTTTCACCCTCCTCCTTTCCCAACACTTAGATGGAATGATGTAATTTCCTTTTAGTCACTCAACTAAGGATTATAGCTTTAGGTCAGTGTGGAATGTAGATAGATAAATTTTAGAATAACCTGGGGGGATCTGTTAGGAAGCCGTTCAGTATTATAGGTAAAAAGTGATGACTGCCTGACCTGAAGTGGTCATGGTAGAAGCTGAGGGGATGTGGTTGGTTTAAGAGATAATAAGGAGGTTAGATCAACAGTTCTGGATGAGATGTAAAGTGGGGGATGGAAAATACATAACTATTCAAGTTGACCAGTTTCTGGCTCAATCTAGTAGTTAGATAGTGACTTACATAAGAGTGTTTTGCCTGGCTGGTGTGGCTCAGTGGTTGAGCATTGATCTAGGAGCCAAGAGGTCCCGGTTCCATTTCGGTGAAGGGCACATGCCCGGATTGTAGGCTCAATCCCCAGTAGGAGGTGTGCAGGAGGCAGCCAGTCAATGATTCTCTCTCATCATTGATGTGTCTATCTCTCACTCCCTCTCTCTTCCAACCTGAAATCAATAAAAATATATATTTTTAAAAAGAGTGTTTTGAAGGGGTGAGTATAAACACAAGCAGAAAAAATGAGTTCAGTTGGGGATCTATTGATTTAGAGATGAATGATGTGTATTGTAGCTCAGATGAGAGATTTGAGAGGCAAATATAGATTTGAAATTCATTGCTGAACAGATGGTAGAAGAAATTATAGTTTGGCTAAGATGCTCCAGGACAAAATGTTAAATGGAATCAGAAGAGTGAAAATGAAGAAATTGGGAAAAAACCATATTTACAGGGAAGAGGTGGAAGATGAAATTTAGGAATATAACTTAGCAGAATCTTGGGAGATGACGGAGGAAATGATTTCAAGGAAGAAGAAATAGTCATGGTGTCAAAAGCGACTCAGATCAAGTAAGATAAGGACCTACAAGCGTCCATTCAATTTGAGAGTTAACAGTCATTAGTGGCCAGATGGCCTCATTTGTGAAAATTCAGGCATCATTTTAAGGATTTTTGTTAAGCAAAGGACTTCTCTTGGAAGGATAAAACCAAACCAAAGCAAATAAAAAATACTCTGATACCATAAGAGTATTTTTGTTACTTAATTTTTAAAAATGTTACAAGAGGCTTTCATTATTTGGTTAAAAAATGGAGCGGGGGTGGGGAAGGCGTTATATTTGCTGCATTCAAATCTTTATTCAGTTAATTTTTATTTTTTAATATTCATATAATCAAAACAATAAAATAAAAACTCTTCATTTGGAATGAATACAGTTGCCGCTAAAGATGATAAACTCCTGCTTGTCAAACCCTGGCTACAGAGGATGACATCTTTCTGACGTCCAGTGTCTACTACTGTTGTTCAAAATATTCAGTGACTGAATCTTTACTAGCAAATAACCTTTTCCCCAGCTCCACTTGACAAAAGTCTTAATCTGATTCTTTTTTGAAATCTTTATGAAGCCTTTTCTGAATCTTTAAACTGAATGTAATCTCTCTTTCCCATGATTTCACCAAGTGCCCCACTCTTCACTTTGTGACATTTATTTGTTCACTTTGTTCATTTGCTACACTATTTTGTAAACTCCTTGAAGGCCCAGACTTGCTTCTTCAGCTGTCAGCTGTGTATTCTTTATATCCTTAGCCAGATATGAAAGAGGCCGGGAGGCAGGGAGATAGTTGATGTTCAAATAATTTATTTCTAATTAAAATTAAAAGGGAAAAGCAGGCAGACATAAAAGATTTTGAAAGAGAGGACACTGGTCAAAAAGATCGTCATCATCAGCCTACTGATGGCCTACATTTGGAAGCATTATCCCATCTATGTGGGGACTAGCGATTATTTTCCACCTCATAGTATTTTCTTGTTAAAATAGCTTGCTTATTATAGTTTTATCTTGATTCACTTGCCTCCTCCTACTGGTTCTAGAACGATCACGTCCCTATCTAGGCAGAGCAGGAAATGTTTAGGAGTTTACTTGTAGAGGCCAAAGTTGTTACAATTTTAAGGTCACCTTATCCTTGAACCTTTAATCAACTATTTTAGTTTGTCTTTGCTCTTTGTCCTTTGTATATTTCTGACTCCAGAGAGTAATTTTACTTTTCATTTTGGGCCCCAATTTAGAACCTTCAGTACTGTGTGTTCTGGGCCCCAGGTGCCTCTTGGCTTCCTAGTCCTGCCTCTCAGTTACTCATAATCCTGGCATAACTTGTAAAATTATTTTTGGGTATTTTTATTGAATTAAGGGGAGAGATGGGTAGGAAAATGACACAAAAGAAAATACATTTGATATCCTTTTAAGTGTTAGCTAAATGTATGCAGTTATTATCACATGGCTCATGCTGCTGTCTGCTCTTACATTTGTCCGATGGTTGTTGCTAGGCCAAATGGTCCTGAAATCATCTTAGCGATCCTCTGCTCCAGTAATGGTCCTCAAAGAGGTCAAACGCAGTCCAGAACATTCAAACCTGCGTTTTTATTTTCTGATTACAAATTGAACTTCCAACATTCACAAGTAAAAATTCACAGTCAAGTAAAAAGTAATGGATTATTTTAAATTTAAAAGAAATGAGAATTTATTTTTATGGAATTCTAAGATCAAAGGAGAAAAAATGTCAAAAAGCAGTATTTGGATCCTCTAATCCCTTGATTTTATATGTTCATAAAGATGTGGAAAAACTTGGGATATTCTGAGATGATCTGTATCATAGCTTTTTGGAAATAAAAAGTATGAGTAAAAAAAAACCCTTTAAAATAAAACTATAGATTAGATATATTAAAAAACTATTAAATATGCATGGTTAAAATGATATCTTTAACATTAATTAATTTTATTTGTATAAACAAAATACATTTTTAAAATGTGAAATTATTCCATTTTTGTAATTTCTAAAGCAAATCATAAAGTTAATTCTATGCTATAAATTACTTTATTCTTGATCTTTTATTATTAAAAATGAAACCCTAGTATCACACAATTGTAAATATTAGAGCTCAGATTTTAAATATAAGGTTACACTATTTTCACTATGGTCAAAGATGGGCTACTCAAGTCTAAAGAAGAACACTCAGAAACACTTTTTGGTGTGTTTCTGTGTGTGTGGGGGGTGGGGGGGGAGGGAGAGAAAGAGAGAGAAAGAGAGATATCAGAAAGCTTGAGTTTGAGCTTGATTGTCCTTCCTGTAATTATTCTTTTTGCAGATTTAAAAGTCGTTCGAAAACTTCACATAAGGACAGTTTTTGACTTCTATTAGCTGCTACTGCAAAATCTTAAAAATATTGATAGTTACTTTCAGAGCAGTTAAAATTCAGAGTTCTAGGCAAATCTTGGTATAGATTCTCTTGGGATAGCTGAACTAGCCAGAATTTTTGCGAGGTTAATATTCAGTAAAAGGGGATTTGTTTCTTCCTATTTAAATGGCAACTTTAACAAGGTCTTGGTTAGAAAATTTCAAACCAAACTAACAATGCATAGAGAGGATTCTGGAACAAAGAAACAAATCCATCTGAAGAGCTGACTAAGGTTGTATTACAAAGTCGACATCAGCAATAAAAGAAAACAAAGCCAAGTGACTAAATCAAGGTCAAGTATGATGATGGTCATGAATCAGCAAATATAATCATAGTACCAAAGTTTAAGAATAGGTTGACTAGAAATAGATGAGTGGGATTCAGTTAAGTTCAATGCATTTATCTCTTCCTTCCTGCCTTTCTTCTTTCATTTCTCCTAGTCTTCCTTTCTCTCTTTCCTTTCCCTCCTTCCCTTTCATTTCCTTAACTTCTTTCCCTTTTTCCTTCTTCTTACAAAAATAATTATCTACCATGTGCACCATAATAAGCACTTATTATACTGATGAAAGATTTAGTTCTTGCCTAAACAGAGTTCTCAGAATATGTGTGTTGAGATCATAAGTTAAAATGTTCTTACCTAATATATTTTGAGTACTCATTTGCAGTGTTTCAGTTGTTCACAACCTAAAATATGAACGTGCTGAACACACCGCTTGTGCTATAGAGTTATTGCTTATGATGTTATACAATGGTGGCACTTAGATAATGGTAATGAGATTTAAATACATGTAGACAGTGATAAAATAGAAAAATGTGAGAGCACATGATTTTTCTTGCAGTACAGATGATCCTTACTATTATAAGAAACATTAGAGTGAAATTTTATAGAATGCTACAAACCATATTGAACTACTATTGCAATAGTATGAAGTACAATTTCAAACTCATACTTGGATAGAATACATACTTAGGCTAAAAATATATTGTATTTCAATTTGAACTTCATGATAGCTGAATAAGGGATATAACATTGTCTTTTAATGAGCTAATTCCTTTCCAATTTTAAGAGTGATAAAAGGTCACCCCTTTTGAGTGGAACAGCATACACTTGTTAGAAATCTGTATAAATCATCCCTATGTTCAAGTGCAAGGCAACTACAACATAGTTCCATGTATTAAAACAAAAGTGCCTTTCAAAATAGGGTAGAGAGAAGCAAATTTTCACAGCAACAGTATGGTGAGTGCTTTATGAAATGAAAAATTAACCTCAATGATTTCTCAATGGACAGAATAGGAAGTTATTCCTTACAGGACACCAAACCACTTAAAAACACTTCCCATTTGGAGGTGAATATATATGCCATCTGTTCATTTCTGGGTGTCAGGTCCTTCTGCCTTATCCCCAAATGTCAGAAAATCTAAACCATGTACAGGATGGCCCTCGATGATGTGGTTTAGGAACAAGTGTCCCATCTTGAGACCAATATTCATGGTTAGTAAGGAAAATTGAGAGGCTAATATAGGGTGATAACATATAAATGAACATCAAGATACTTGATATCAAGATATCAACTCTTCAAAAAAGAAATTGTAAGTTGTTTCTTTTAAGTATTCAAGGAGGTAAAATTACTTATGGCTCAGACGTTCTAAGGCTGACTGTAGTAGATTGAATTATGGCCACCAAAAGATATAAAATTTTAATCTCTAGAACTTGTAAATTTATTTATTTTTTTGGAAAAAGGGTGTCTGGATGTGACTAAATTAAGGATTTTGAGATGAGGAGATTACCCTAGGGTATCCAGTGGTCCCTAAATACCATCACAAGTGTCCTTATAACCCATATGCAGAGGGAGACTCCACACAGATACACAGAGAAGATGTACAGATGAGGAGGACACCATGTGATCATGGAAGCAAAGACTGAAGCAATGCCCACACAATCCAAGAAAATGGTTGGAGCCACCAGGGGTGAAAGAGGCAAGGAAGGGTATCCCCCTAGAGTTTTTGGAGGAAATGCCGTTCTGCTGGCAACTTGATTTCAGACTCCTGGCCTTCAAACAGTGAGTGAATCAATTCCTGTTGTTTTAGGCTATTACATTTGTGGTAATTTGTTACTGCAACCCTAGGAAACACATGCATAAAGTAACTTACATTGGAGTACACTTTCATTAT